CCTAGGTTTAATTATAAATGGTATCAATACCGCCCCTAAAGAATTAACAATAACGGAAATGATGCAATATATTATTCCTCGTAACGGGTGAACTCGTTCTTCGCATACGAAGCGCATTTAAACTTTAGGCCTAAGTTTCGATTTTTCGGCGCTTGTACTATAGGTCTATGTTTCGATTTTCCGGCACATTTAAAGAATGCATAATAGTATCAAGAAGTGTAAATTTCTTGTGTGTCTAAATCGCATTTGTATATCATAATGTTAGTTACAGAGCATAAAAAATGTATGAAATTGTGGCAATGACTATTAAGACTAATTAACATAGATTATATAGTTGGTAAACTCCTGCTTTGCGTATGAAGCGTATTTAAACTTTAAGCCTAATTGTCGATTTTCAGGCGCCTTTTAGAATTTTTATAGAGATGTAATGGTATTGCATTATGTATGAGCCACAGGAAGGTAAAGAATTAACATAATGTGTTTCCTTGCGTGTCCGTTTATGTTACTGAAGAAATTGTCTTTAAAGTTAATGTTATAACCGTCGTAGTTTTACACTTGTATAGAACAGTACACGTTAAACGTCCTTCACTTTTGCGCTCGTATAAACTTAAAAGTACCAACGTACAATTATCCAATAGGAATATTGGGTTTCCATGTGAGCTAGCACACATAGATATACGGTCTAACTGGCCCACATTATTCTTATAACTACAAAGATACCAAAACATCATGTCTGCGGTAGCCTTATCACAAAGATGACGACATTAACCCTTAACTTAATGACTTGTTTCTATACCTTATACTACCGGTGGGGCTCTTTCTCATTGCATGATATTCAGTAGTTTTATGTTTTTATTTTTTTAACACTCGCTATGAAGTCTGATTAAAAGCAAGCTGAGTGAACTGACTTATTTTCAAAATAAAATGGTTGAGCCCTGACAACACCTAGTGACTCGTATGGACCAAGAAAGCCAGGACAAGAGGCTTCCGGCAGGAATTCATATCGACCTTGTGACGAAAAATATCTGTAATCCATAAGTAACTGAGTGAGTGCGTAAATAGTTTAGATAATGTGCTTAAAAAGCCAATAGAGTCGGCAAATCTAGGCTTAAGGTGTTCCAAGTTAACAATAGCTGATGTTTACATATCACACTTAATTGTATTTTACTCTTATGTTTTGATTAGGTCTCTAACTGGAGAAGGAAACTTCAACTGGAGATTCATTTTTCCGTTTGATTATTTGCCTGCGGAAGAAAAGATAGTCATTTCCAGAAAGGAATCGCTGTTTTCTTGGGACGAGACTGAGTGTAAGATCCCTGCTCGACTGGAGCTCCAAGTCTGGGATGCTGACCATTTCTCAGCCGATGATTTCTTGGGTAATTTTACTGTTTTCCAGAATAGTTGAGAATGCGAGGAATTATTTTAACACTCTTTCGTAATTTTAAGAATAACTTTTGTGAAGAAAGTGTTTACTGAACTATAATCTGGTTCTGGTTATTTTGAATTTCGCACAAAACTATATTTAGATATCAAAGACTAGATGAAAGGCAGCTAGTTATCACACCTCACTCTTGGGCTACCCTTTTACTAAAGTATGATGGGATTGATCGTCACATAATAACGCTACCACGGCTGAAAGGGCGAGCATGTTTGGTGGGACGGGCATTTCAGCCCGCAAATTGCGTGTGAGCGAGAGATGGCGAACCTTTATTTAACTCATATTTGACGACTTAGATAGGGGTTGAACTGTATAGATTAAAAACTAAGACATAATTTCAGTGATTGAAAACTTGAACAAGATTGAGGGAGAAACATATTATTCTTTAATTTAAAACAATGTAACAAAATCTTGACAACTCTTTAGGAGAGTTAAGAAAGTAAAGCTAATAACCTAGGAAGGTCCACTTGGAATAAAATGGAAACAAACATTGCTGGTCAAAGATACAGATTTACACCGTGAACATTGACCCGTTACTGACACGAAAGTCTGGAAATGCCAATATTTGAATATTACAGAAATATAGATTTAATGGCCAATACTGACACACTTTTCTCAATTTTCCTTTCGGTAAGCTACACGTGATCTAGTGGTTAATACACTGGTCTTCGGATCGGAAGGTGAAAGGTTCGACCCATAATATGCCATGCTGTACATTTTCAGTTTTAGAGGTATTATAACTGTAGGAGTAAAATCTGCTGTTAATTTAAGAGCAGATGGTGCTAATTAGTTATTATTCTTCTATTTAAAAGTTATCAATACTACAACTTAAGTTTAGAAATTAGCCAGTATTATACCAAACTGACTGTGCCTCTAGTTTCAATGGTGACACTACCTCGTTATCTGAATGATGTTATACTTTATCCTTTGGATATCTGCAACATCTCATGTTTGATGTCGTCTTCACAAAGTTTATAGGACGTCACTGTCCGTCTATTCATCCCAGCTCCAACAGTGGAACCACAAATTATAGGTCTTTGGAGGTAATACCAGTCGAATTGGATTAAAGTACGTTGGTATGCCACAAAATTGTGACATGAGCAATGATAAGGTGTATCTTTCTGGGGGGTTTTAATAGTAGAACGTTATCAGTTCAATGTAGTCTAGTTACTTCTATAGGGCCACAAAAATATCTCCAGATTCGACACATTCAACGCAAGTTCACCTTCAATTATCCACTGATGTTGAAAAAGAATGATATTATCCATGATTTGTGCTAAAATACGAACATTAAATAAAATATAATTGTGATGTCTTGGGTTATTAAGCCTATCCCTTTATAAGTTATTTCTATAATATTATGAATTTATTAACATTTCAAGTCTTTATTATTCTCTAACATAAAACTTGACCACTGCATACTTATACCTTGAGATTGTTACTGTTGTAGGCTATCTCTGTATTCACATTTCACTGTTTGACTCCGGTTTTTTGAAAGGTGACCTTTCTAGATTTTTAGCACCACTTTCTCATAGAGATAGGGGAATTTTTTGCTAATTTTATTATGTGTAGCCGAAGTTAGAAAAGTATCTTTCCTTTGTTCCAGTTAATGCCAAATTAGATATTGAGTTTTTCTTTTCAATGTCTCAACTGGGGAAAGTAGAAAATATAAGAGATTTTATTTAATTACGGTTAAAAATAGAAACTTTTAAGTTGGTTTCATTGATAGAAGAGCAACATATGAACTAGTTTATCAAAAGTAATGGCATACCTTTGTAATTTGTGTCAATCATAGACTGTGTTACTATGTGCTTTAAAACAACAATGATACAAATCTGATGGATTAGAGCGCCACTTCTTTTTGTAGGATCTTGAGCAGTTCAGTTAGATTTTGTGGGACGATCAAAGCAAATCCTTTATGCTGTTGATCCTAACTGCTGCTGACTATAAAGCATATGACATGTATTCTCATAGAGAAAGATGGCATGGTGTATTTTCATATAGAAAGGTGTTGTGCTGTATTCTCATAGAGAAAGATGGCGTGGTGTATTTTCATATACAAAGATGTATTATCCTGTCAATACCAAATGCGTATATTAATAAAAAATGCATCTCTTCCTTAATTATTTACCGGTGAACTAAATCCAAATCAGCTAAAACGGGCCGCCATCTTGAAACTACCCTAACTTATCTTCATTGCTTTCCATCCATTTTCCACGTTCCCCCAAACTAGGAAACATCACAATGAACAGATCCTCAAAGCATGGTCTGAGATTAGCATGCCCGGGTCGTGAATCCTAGAGTTCACGGTTTGCGTCCGGTTTCGCAAAAAAAAAAAAAGCGCTCCACATTTTGGGACCGTGGGTGCGCTGTAAGAGTAACGATCAAATTCCATTATTGAGTCATAACAGAATAGCTCAAGGGTTGGCGGTGGGTACTGTCTTCCCTGTATCAGCTCAAACGTCTGTACAGAGATAAAAGAAGCTTAGAGTTTAAAAACAAAAATCGATGTTTTATAGATCTAATTATTTACGTTGCTTAGTCTACCAGAATAATACAATCCATAGTAAATTTTGACCTGTTCTTTTCATTTGTAGGTGCCATAACTCTCGATCTGAATCGTTTTCCACGCGGTGCCAAATCGTCGAGGCTCTGCACTTTGAACGTGCTAAAAGCAGATGGTAATGTCCCCACCGTGTCTCTCTTTAAACAACGACGTTTGAAAGGATGGTGGCCTTTTTATGTCAAGAAAGAAAACGAAGAAATGGAACTAACGGTAGATTAGAATTATATTTGGGTGGTAATGCCTTTATTTATTTTGTAAAGAAAGAACCTTATTGTTTTATAAATCAGTTTGTGAGGTTGTCTCATGATTAGGTACTTTGTCCTTCACCACATCGTGGTTCGTATTTGGAAAGAAGTAAAGACACGAATATTTCACAGTTGATATACATCAACTAAAACATCCTGCCTTCTTGTTTCTGACAAATAATTAATCAACTGCCTTCTTGTTTCTGCCAAATAATTAATCAACTGCCTTCTTGTTTCTGACAAATAATTAATAAACTGCCTTCTTGTTTCTGACAAATAATTAATAAACTGCCTTCTTGTTTCTGACAAATAATTAATAAACTGCCTTCTTGTTTCTGACAAATAATTAATAAACTGTCTTCTTGTTTCTGACAAATAATTAATAAACTGCCTTCTTGTTTCTGACAAATAATTAATCAAGTGCCTTCTTGTTTTGGACAGGGTAAAGTTGAAGCTGAACTTCACTTGTTAACAAAAGAAGAAGCAGACAAGGCACCAGCTGGTATGGGACGTGGAGAACCAGACCCTCTTGACAAGCCAAAGTAAGTCAACACAGTTAATTCTTTTAAATCTTTAGGAAATCGTTCATTTTATTTATATTTATATTAGATTTAGATATAGAATCTCTACATCATGTTTTTACAGGGCTTATACTAACTATCTTGGCACAACCAATCTCTACATCATGTTTTTACAGGACTTATACTAGCTAATTTGGTAAAACTAATCTCTACTTCAGGTTTTTATAGGCCTTATAAAAGCTTATAAACTAGCTTGGTTAAAACTAATCCTGATATCTTGTTTATACAGGCATTATAATAACTAGCTTGGTAAAACTAATCAATACATCATGTTTTATAGGCCTTATACTAACTAGCTTGGTAAAACTAATCTCTACATCATGATTTTACAGGTATTATACTAGCTAGCTTGGTAAAACTAATCTCTACATCATGATTTTACAGGTATTATACTAGCTAGCTTGGTAAAACTAGTCAATACATCATATTTTTACAGGCCTTATACTAACTAGCTTGGTAAAACTAATCTCTACATCTTGTTTTTATTGTTTGTTTATATAAATATATAATAGTTATGTGATTATACTAACCAGCTTGGTAAATTAATCTCTACATCTTGTTTTTACAGGCCTTATATTAACTATCTTGGTAAAACTAGTCTCTGCATCATGTTTTCACAGGTCTTATACTAACTAGCTTTCTATAACTAATTCTGACATCTTGTTTTTACAGGCATTATACTAACTAGCTTTCTATAACTAATTCTGACATCTTGTTTTTACAGGCATTATACTAATTAGCTTGCTAAAACTAATCGCTACATCATGTTTTTATAGGCATTATACTAACTACCTTGGCATAACCAATCTCTACATCATGTTTTTACAGGCCTTATACTAACTAGCTTGGTAAAACTAATCTCTACTTCAGGTTTTTATAGGCCTTATACTAACTAGCTTGGTAAAACTAATCTCTACATCATGTTTTTACAGGGCTTATACTAACTATCTTGGCACAACCAATCTCTACATCATGTTTTTACAGGACTTATACTAGCTAATTTGGTTAAACTAATCTCTACTTCAGGTTTTTATAGGCCTTATACTAACTAGCTTGGTAAAACTGGTGTATAAAAACAAGATGCAGAGATTAGTTTTACCGAGCTACTTGGTATAAGGCCTATAAAAACATGATGTAGAGACTAGTTTTACCAAGCTAGTTAGTATAAGGCCTATAAAAACATGATGCAAAGATTAGTTTTACCAAGCTAGTTATTATAATGCCTGTAAAAACATGTTGTAGAGATTAGTTTTACCAAACTAGTTAGTATAAGGTGTATAAAATATGATGTTGAGACCAGTTTTACCAAGCTAGTTAGTATAAGGCCTCTAAAAACATGATGTAGAGATTAGTTTTACCAAGCTAGTTAGTACAAGGCCTGTAAAAACATGATGTAGAGATCAGTTTTACTGAACTACTTAGTATAAGGCCTATAAAAACATCATGTAGAGACTAGTTTTACCAAGCTACTTAATATAAGGCTTGTAAAAACAATATGTAGAGACTAGTTTTACCAAGCTAGTTAGTATAAGGCCTATAAAAACATGAAGTGGAGATTAGTTTTATCAAGTTAGCTAATATAAGTCCTGTAAAAACATGATGTAAAGATTGGTTGTGTCAAGCTAGTTGGTATAAGGCCTGTAAAAACATGATGTAGAGATTGGTTGTGCCAAGCTAATTAGTATAAGCCCTGTAAAAACAAGCTGCAGAGACTAGTTTTACCAAGCTAGTTAGTATAAGACCTGTTAAAACATGATGTAGAGATTAGTTTACCAAGCTAGTTAGTATAAGGCCTGTAAAAACACGATGTATTGACTAGTTTTACCAAGCTAGTTAGTATAAGGCCTATAAAAACATGATGTAGAGATTAGTTTTACCAAGTTAGCTAGTATAAGCCCTGTAAAAACATGATGTAGAGATTAGTTTTACCAAGCTAGTTAGTATAAGGCCTGTGAAAACATGATGTAGAGATTGGTTGTGCCAAGGTAGTTAGTATAATGCCTATAAAAACATGATGTAGCGATTAGTTTTAGCAAGCTAATTAGTATAATGCCTGTAAAAACAAGATGTCAGAATTAGTTATAGAAAGCTAGTTAGTATAAGACCTGTAAAAACATGATGCAGAGACTAGTTTTACCAAGCTAGTTGGTATAAGGCCTGTAAAAACATGATGCAGAGACTAGTTTTACCAAGCTAGTTAGTATAAGGCCTG